ATACGATGATTATTTTGATCAACAATATATAGATAACCATTACCATCAAGAGTTATTCCAGTCGGATGGTTGAGACTGATTGTAAGGTTAACTGATGTTCTCCCTGCAACAGTAGTTGCATTCGATTGACCTGCTTCGAATAACTGAATTCGATGATTGAGAGAATCAGCAACATAAAGATTCAAATAGACATCAACAAAAATTCCAGTCGGAATAGCCAACATATTAGAAGCTGGACCAGAAATTCCAGTCCCAGCTACGATAACTGATGTTGTATTGTTATTCCCTAACCATTTTTTTAGAATTCTGTGTTGAAGATCTAATGAACAATATAAATTGTTATTGATATCAATGAAAATGGCATAGCATGATACGGGAATATCCATAACAGGAGTGTGAGTATTTGTATTCAATATCCATCTAGAAACTGCCGGTCTCAATATTGATGTTGTAATATAGATTTCATTATTATTTTCAACAAAAACTGATTTCGGGTACCATAGTGTGTTTGACCCTATTTTCGAGGGCTTGATAGAGTCATTCAAAGAAATATAGATGCCAGAAGATCCGAGACCAATGATATAAATAGAATTATTAGTTGTAAGAAATATAGAATACATCGTAATGTCATGGAGTTCTACAAAAGTACTTCCAAATGGATACCATATTGCTGATGAACAAAATTTTGGTTGATTAAATGACAAACCTAGAAGGAATTTTCAAACTTCATAATCTCATTCTATACAATAAGCAGATTATCAAATTAGAAATAGACGGTTTTTTACCTGAGAATGGACGAATCATAAAAACAATCAAGTACAATCTGAGTTTGTCAATTAAAGCCATTGTATTTCACAAAAAAGTGATGATCTAAAATTGATTTTATTATGAATAGTAAAATAGAAAATAAAACTACATGAAAGTAATCTCTTTACTTTCTTGTTTTTGAACAAAACAAAAATTATAATGAAAACTAGTATAATATTCTTCTGCATATGTCGCATAAATAAAAATATATTTACTGTGTATCTAACATTTGAATCCGGAACAAAAAAGTGCTTGTTTCATGGAGAAAAATAATATGCTCACATTTTATATTCATATCACTATTGATTATGAGAAAAAGGTTATAGAAACAATTCTATACTCATTCACTTGTCTATGAAAAACAATTTCTGATAATAACAAAATATAATGATGCATTAAACTAATATAGGGCAAATACTGATTCAAAGTGGTGTCTTCGCCTAATTGACTACAGTTACCAGCTAAATATCCTAAAAACGTCTCAGATACAGCTATTATCCTCTTTTTAAAAGATAAGTGTACTAAAGACAATAAAAATGTCATATCGAACTCATGAATCTCTTTTCATAGTTAATGGCTTTTTTCTTTTTCTCACAATTCATTTTGAAATATTCAGACATGGTTTCCCATTTCTTGTCAGAAACCAACTTTGAGCGAAGTCGAAGGTTTCATCTAATTGAAGTTCTGTGAACTGTGAATACGTGTGTTATATTTGTTTCGAAGAACTTATTTCCATTAATTTAAATCTTTTGTTTCTTTTGAATGGATTGTTAAAGAAAAATATTTTGAAGACTTTCTTTGAAGGTTAAGAAATCTTTTTCTTTCAATCTTTTTTGTAAGTAACAAAAAGAATTTAATCAATTCCAAAATAATGAAACGACGAAGAAAAATCCTCCATTCTTTTCATTGAACAATTCGATGACTCAAAGTATCTGTGATAAAACTATTTTGATTTTCATTAATATAAATTCCTTTCCTTGATCATTTTCCGCTACCATTACTTGTCCATAATGTTTCCACGGTTGAAACTTTTAGAAACTAAAAATTGTGACTAGATACATATATGTGGGGAAAATTTTCAGTTCTCTTTATTAAACCCAAACTACGGAAAATACCGTTTATAAAGCTATCCCCTGTTTTTTACAACTTCATCAGTACTTGCACATCATCGAAAGTAGCGTATGAAAGATACATATATAAGTTTCGATAGTCTTTCAATTATATCTGTTAAACTCAATATAAAATTTTACCTCTACAGAAATAAAAAGGCTAAGTTACAGCAAAAAATGGAAAAACACCTATAGAACTGACATAGTTATTTATCAGGGAAATTAAAAATGCCTGAATAAGTGCTTTTGCAGATCATGATCTGTTTTGTTCTCGGGATAAATATTTCCATTGATGAACAGCAGATATGAGTGAATAAAAAGTATGTGTTGAGTTTCGTACGCAAACAACTACTTAAATAGATGAATTAAGCTATGAGAGCGAACAGGCAAATTTAAGATACGGTTGAATTAATAGACTAATGAAAGAATTACGTATCAGTCTTTGCCTGTATAACAAATCACAGCGGACCAATACATGAAATTGTAAATTATGCTTATATTTCTATCAATAGTGCCCATTCAAGCGCATTTGTTTATTTTATGATTACTAGTTCGGGTATTATTAGTTACTGATAGTTATTCGTTAGATTATACTAGTCGACGTTTCTGCTCGAAGAAAGAACATTAAGTGATAATGTGATGTTTATTTACCTGTGCTTATGTCGAAGAAGAACAGAAAAAAGGAAATATTCTGTCCATATCAATCTAATCATCGTACAATGAAAATGAATTATGATAATTGATTATCTTGTTTGTCGTAGTTTGCACACAAGATTCTTTCGACAGAAAGATGCGCCAGGGTATCAGATACCTAGCCACACATCCTTTCAAGCCACTCGATGTATCGAAAGGGAAACTAAACAATTAGGGAAGAAAAACTGTGTCTAAGCATGCAACAATCCCGATTCGATTCTGACTCCAATCCTAATCAATTCCATTCGATTCTAGAATCGGAATCGGAATCGGATTGTTTGGAATTGGGATTGGTGCATGCCTAACTGTGTCTATTCTTTTATTATGCATTATTTCAAGAAGACAGAAAAGAGGTAGCGTTCATCAATGTCAGCCGGTTAATAGAAATCATCTCAATCAAGTTAATGTGACATATATCTGCTCGCCTCCTCCACTAGAACCAATTCTGAGATAATATGATATCAAATAATAATTTCCAGCCACAGTAGAAAACGATTGAAATAGATAATCGTAATTTTGACATGAATCGTAAACGCAGTATGCTCCTGAATAACATGGACTTGCTACGGTATGAGCATAATAATTAGTTGTTTTACAATTGACATCGTTGTTGCAGAACTGTGACCATCCATTTAAATTTCCCATTTCAAAATCTCCATTAGTGAGAACGTTTATGCTTGTGTTCATATCTGTCACAGATACTTTGTCTAGTAACCAATAATGATTACCACCCCCTCCAGCATCACCCGTTGTTATGAAAGATAGAGTTGATGAGAAATCGCTTGCTATAAAACCGTGAGTGTAATGTGTATACGTGCTCGGCGCAGAACCAGAGGGCAAATTCAGAATTTGTCCTGGAGGATTGCTAACACTGCCGCATGTTGGTGCTATTGAAAGTGAAATGATATTCGATACAAAAGACTAACCGTACAATCTGAAACTCACTTGTTGTCGTTGATGTAGAAGCTGAAAGAAAACAGAATGATAGATTAGTAGTAGATGTTCTCAGCAAAAAAAAATGTCGCCTGAAGTTCATGGCGGAGAAACTGAATGTCATGAGCTCTGACTGTCAGTGAAAATTTTCGCTACCTCCTTATCAATTAGTTGATTATGTTGAGGATAATGGCAAAAAATCCTTCGTCTCAATCATAGAATTCAATCAATGAATGCTAGTAAATCTAATATCCGATACAAAATATAAAGTTCCATACAACTAACTGTGCCAACAGACACGTCTATCTCGATATTATATCTTATGCGCTATTATTTGCAAATGTCAATTATGGCATAGGGTCCTTGCGTAACGTTCTTTCTCACTAATATTCGCATTATGAATATTACCTTCTACTGTCATTGTTTGTTCTCTTCTCTTTCTGTTCTGTACTAGACACAACTGGAGTATCAACAATGTAGGAAACACCATCTACATACGAGAGAATAGTGATACTGCTCTTCCTTCAGCCCATCATTGCGATCACAAATGAAATAACATTCGTTTCCATTTCTATATTCCGTTACACTAACTATAAGCTCAAAATTGGTTCCCACACCTTCTCATGCGCAAGTTTCTTTGTCAACTAAGTTACGTTCTATGAAGTCTTAAAGTTCAAATTTTCCTCTCCAGCTTTATCGAAATGAGTTTCATTTCTATTAAATTCTTCTCAAACTCTTATTGTAATTATTTTTATTTATCAGAATTTCTTACTTGAAGTACTTGATGTCGACGTTGTCTTTGATGTTGTACTCGTGGTTGATGTACTACCTATTAAAAAATATGTAGAATTATTGTAGTGAATATAGACTAACAATCAACTCTTTCATGGAAATGTTTTCTACAGACATAATTGCTCTTTGCAGTGGAAAAAAGATTCAAAAGCATATCTTCTATTTTCGCTAGAATAACTAACGAGAGGATGAGAATGATCTTTAAGTGTAGTCCTCAGCCTCATTTACATTTTATCTATGCACGAATTGAAAAAGTAAAAAAAAAACATCTGCTTTTTAGGAAAAGTTGTACAATTCTTGATTACATTTTAAAATCTCACCAAGTCCGTTCTCAATCTGCATCAGATTCTCAATCATATTTGCAGAATATGTAGGCATACATACTTGTTGTTGAGGTTGTCGAGCTTGTAGTACTTGTTGTCGAAGTCGTACTGGTTGTGGCACTTGTCGACGAGGTCGAACTGGTACTTGAGGTACTTGTTGACGTACTCGTACTGGTGGTTGAAGTGCTTGTTGATGACGTCGAACTAGTAGATGAAGTGCTTGATGACGAGCTCGTACTAGTTGTAGCACTTGTTGATGAGGTTGAACTAGTACTTGAGGTACTTGATGATGAACTCGTACTGGTTGTAGTACTTGTTGATGACGTCGAACTAGTGGATGAAGTACTTGATGACGAGCTCGTACTAGTTGTAGCACTTGTTGACGAGGTCGAAGCTACGTTTGTAGGGATCGCAGCTATGAATTTATACTTTCAGAGTTTGTTTCTTACTCGTCGATGTTGATGCTATTATTAGAAAAATGATCGTATATTAAATAACATCAAAAGAAAAAGTTTAACAAATGGCATGATTCTTGCTCTTTCATCAATAATTATACGACTAATATAACGGAAGACTAAACGGACCAAGGGGAAAAGTGCTACTTCAGAAAATGAAGTACTTCGCTCATACTTCAAATACTATCTTGCATAAGTCTGCCCAATTTAGAGTTTAGATTGTCACTCTACTCTTGAAATTACAGCGAAAAGGGTCGATCATAATGGATTTCATTAAATTTCTAATGTATTTTGCTACAATCGAATGAATCTATCTCAAGATCCATCTGCTTGAAACAATTCAGAAACTGCTTTTTCTTCTCCTCGTGTCTGATTCCATGGTTGATTCATGTGAGACCTTAATTTATGTTGACAGATCTACAGTAAACTTCAAAATCAGAGTCTGCACTTATTCTAGTCAGGTGTAACATCAAATCTCATTACTCGGTGCATTTTTTATTTATTATATGTAAATATTTAAAAATCCAGCAAACCAAACCACCAAAATTTCTATTAAAGGAACACTGTACGTATCTATGTCATCCTATTGTTTAATTCAAAACTAGTGATCCCATAGAATTATTTTTATGATTATTATAATTAGACTCACTTGTTGATGTTGCTGTAGTAGCAGTCGTTGTTGTTGTTGATAGAGTAGTTTTATGTGCTAATGAAGATAAACTAATATGATAGATAAAAGACAGAATACTTACGTAAAACTACGGCAAGTATAGAACCAAGAGCTATACTCGCCAAGAGACCAATAGCGATGATCAAGCACAAGCAACACGCAACTTGACGACCAGAGCATGCCCTACAATAAAGAAGCATATTAAAATGAGTGAAACATAGTTGTTGAGGTGATAAGCTGAAACAGTGCTACCCAATGATTTGACTGAAACAAAACAAATATTCTTAATCATGAATCTATTTTTAGCAAACTTCTGCCTTGATATGATTATACAAACATCCATTATTATTTTTCAGAATAGAAAACGCTCAGAAAAAAGAGAATCAAATCTATTAAGGCTAACACTTTCATCGTAGCATATCTTTGAAGACTATGATTCAACATTTTGACATACTTACATTCGGAGCCGTTTTTTGGCATTTGGATTTCTTAGAGATTTTTTCCATCGATTTTCAGTCTCTCCAAATCTACCATCCTGCATACGTTTCATTTGAGTGTCCGTTGACTAGATAATAGAGTATAAAATTACACATAGTCATTTTCTTTGAACACATAAACAGACTTACCGATGTAAGAGCAGAATCACTTTTACTGCTTTTCCAATAACTCTGTGACATCTGATTCGGTCGTAAGCGATTGTTACAAGGAAGATAGGAATTCGTGGAGATACGCGTGAACGGCATATTTTTATCTGTCATGTTGATTAATATCAGTTGCTCGTAATTTCAATTGTGGTGCTCTTATCAAACTTTCTCTTGTCGACAAGCAAATGAATGGAATTACACTTTGAGAAGCATGAATTCAGATATTTAATGGATTATAGAAGAAAAAAAAAGTATATTCGGAAGCCAAGGACGGTTGTTTATTTCATATTACAATGGTTTCAGAAAAATTAAAAAATCGATGTACTTTTTATTGACAACGCCCGAGCCTTCACCTGTTTCCCATAATAATATTATCAACATGTTTGTCATGTAGCATGAAATCCCACAAAACATTTTTATCCACATCATATTATTTCACAACAAATATCTGCAAATTGATTTACAATGTAGCAGCCATTTCCCCAGAGTACCGTCAAGATATTTGAGAATAAATATCGATCTATCATAGTACCTAAAACGTTGTGCTTAAAATTAAAGTTGCACTAATGCAAAATCATATCATTCCCTCGACTGAAAGGAGGGCCATACGAAAAAAATAGTTTGTATGTTTGTCTGTTTGTTTCAGGATCAGAGGTCAAAGGTCAAAAAAACATTTTCTTGAAAAAGGCTCAAAACTTCATAACACATGATTTTGGAAGAATGCTGAGGCTCAAGGTTGGCTGGAGGAGGGGTGAAGGAGCACGGATGTGACAGAAATGAAGAAAACATTTTATCCGTGCTTGAGAGGAGGGCTACACAAAAGAGTTGATTACGAAAAAGTAAAAACACACTCGGTTGACTGTCGCATACTAAAGGCCAGTAATCCAAAAATAGATTCATTCACAAGTTACATACTGGAAAGCAATATTGAGATTTTTTGTAGGCCTTTAAGCTTTTTAATTAAGGAGATAACCTCAAATGTTCGGACGAGGATAATCTTATCCATGAGATGCTGATGGAATGCGAAATATATATCGAGTCTCATTTGGTCTTACTGAAATTATCTTTCTTTTAGAAAAAGGAGGATGTGTGTAAGCTGCAAATCCATAATAATCATTTGTAGCGAACTTCTGCTTCCTGTGAACAGTGATATATCAGTCAGGAATATCGAATAATTAAAAGGAACACAAGTAGTCTTTTGGTTCTTTTGAAGACTGTGAGGCGAATGAAGATCAGTTTCTGGGGGCTCCTTCAAAGGTTATACTTCTGTCTTTTTTTGCATAAAATGCATATAAGACTATTTTATTTTCAGTCAGTGGTTCAGTCGAGGGTATAGCGAGTCTGCCTCGACGACCTTTACTAGTTACTTATTCTTAGTTTTATACAAGCGGAATGTCTTGTTCTTATTTATTAACCATATAAGGACAATGAAATATTTTTGTTTTTTTCATCATTGGCATGGGTAATCTATCTCGTAATAATTTTGTTTGTAAACTTGTCAATCAACTGAATGCATTGATATATTTCAAGTCAAATAAACTGCGGATGCCGGTAAAAAAATGTTTACAGACACCATGCATGGATAAAATAGTAGTTATTTTTGGTGTTCTGTTAGTATACACCCACATCTGATAGAAATTGGATTGATTGCTTTTCTCCAAGTTCTTTTTCCTCGTTACTTGATCTACATCGTTTGATCATGAATGAATTTCAATTCTTATCAAACAAAACTATCATCCAATGCTTTGCGTATCTTGATGCCTTACATATACAAAGTTAGAAATGATATTCTGCTATAGAAGGAAGGACTACGATTGTACTTTCAAATCTTATAAATATTGAATTTTATACCAAATGAAAGCTAGTGAAAATCGAGCATACATCTTATTCCGAGTAGCTGCCTAATTCGACTTATAATACAGCTGTAGTAAAAAAAAACTTGCACTTAAAAGTTTTTATACTATGTTCTTGGAATTGGTTTATTTCTTCTGCTTCTCATATGATTGGATAGCCCACAAAAAATACTATGTATACATGTATTTTGATCTATATGCTGTTCATCTCCGAAAGAAAAATGAAGAGTATAAGTGTCTCCGTTGCAAGTGCTAAAAAACATTACACGATTAGGTGAAAATTCGCAATGAAGTTGTATTAGTAGTTGGAAAAAAAAACCGGGTTATAGGAAATTATTTAAGGTTTCAGCATAGTTTCAAAACCTTTGAAGATTTTATTTGTTTACCAGTAAACCATCAAAAGGTTTCAGGCAATTTTAAAAACCATATGAAAAAACTAAATGATTCCGCATACCTCAAATGTTTTTAGTTTGCACTACTTTTCAAAATACGAAACCTTTACGAACGAAAAATAGTTCCATATACCAAAAATGGTTTTATATTGCACCACAGTGATGGGATCGATTCGATTTCAAACCGAACCGAACACAATTTTTCTTAGCGTTAATTAATAAGAGCCGCACAGAAATATATAGTCAGAATAAAAAGATGTTGTTCGAAGTAGAAACAGTGAGATTCATCTAATTGGAATGTCTCGTAATTAAATGACACACAATATGAAAGTGGAAAAGTAGCAATATTGTTTTTGTGTTTTTTTACACATATTTAACAAGTAGCGCTCATCCTTCGGATTCGCCGATCCTTTTCTGAAAGAATTATTCTGGTGCTGAACATGTTCAAACGGTTTGAAAAACACATAAGATACTGCGATTGTCACTAGTACTTGTAACGATAATGATATCGTTCATCTCTTTCTGTTCTTTATTCTCTCACATCTGTATCATACTATCTCTGGGTCATGTCTCTTTTTCCTCTTCTCTATATAAGCACGTGTCTTATTGTGAAAGAGATACATTCTGGTCATGTAGAGTAGTCAATAAACATCGATACCGTGAGAAGCGGTCAGCTACTCAACCAGTTTGCTGTTACACCAACTACTCATTCATCGGCGTCCATACGAGACATCACGCACAAGTAACAGCAAATGAGAAATTGAGAGCCCAATGATAGCCGTAGTATACAGTACTTCAGAATCTAAGGATATCTCCTCCAGCACAGACTTTCGAATCATTGTACACTCAGATGGCTAATCTCTGGTTTGTGACCTCAGACAGACAAATAAGCGCGTTTTGATATTTTGGTAATATCTTTTTTCTGCCCAGGTTATTATGGCACGGTCGGTTCCGGTCGGTTAGGTTCGTTTTCCCACCATTTCCTGCAAACGTCGAGCTGTAAACGGTCAGGAACTGATCGGATATTTCCTGTGCAATTCCGGCGGTAAGGAATCTGTCGGAACTTGCTGAAATCGGCGAAAACTGTGTCGGAATCGAGAAGAGCTGTACCGGAACCGACTCAGATTTCAACGGATCCAGTCGCCGGAATGATCTACTTGGGTCATAGCCGTTCTTTCAGCTGACGATAAAATCTTATTTTGATCTTTGATTCTATGAGGTCATTGCTGTTCTGACCTCACTCCCTTTCAACCAACCGCTAACGACTACCAAGATTGAGTATTATAGCCCAAGTCAAAGAGTACGGACCGGTTCCCATAGGAAAACCTCTTTCACAAGGTGTATCTTTGAATTTTGCACCTTTCCAAAAAAGTTCTTTTGACACCAGATTAGAGTGCTTTTCACCACTTCCTCTTCGTCCCTTCCAAACTGTGTATCTTTGAGTTTTACGCATTTTCAAAAAATGTTTTTTCGATCTTTGACTCGGACATAAACATACAGACACAAACGGTTTTTTGTCATCTGATCCTCCTTTCAGTCGAGGGAACATCATAATTGTCGCATAACTTCCGATTTGACAAGAAAAATTAATACACTAGACGCATCGTATCTTGTAAAGTCAAGGTCAATACATTTGAGCTCAGAAAACCTTGAACTCCCACTATCTGAAGAAAATAAAATTCTATGGCATGCACACACTCACGCCATTCAAACTATTTTTTCTGATGTGACTCTCTTTTCGGACGACAGAACATCAAACTAGTCCTCGTATATATTCTCAGTGTCCTATTAGGTTAGCTAAAGTATTGATCCGGAAGATTTCGACCTAAAACAGACACCTTTAAACCTATTGGAAATGACGCTCCTTTGAATTCCAAACATTTTCAGAGAATGTTTTTTCGCGTTGGATCGTTGGCCTCGGTCCCGGCATACGGCAACTATAGTTCTTCATATGATTCGTCCTTCAGTCCAGTGAATATATTCCCTTTTGTGAAAGAAAGGGTTATAGCCGCGTTAAAAATCGTTAAAAGTTTGTTTGTTTGTCCAAGTCAATGAGAAATTAGGATTTCTTAAGTCATCGAAATTTACTCTTATGAACTAGAGACCGACTAGTAGATAGATTATCGAGGTCGGGGAACTCGAATCCGGTATTAGTTTTCAAGATTTCATTTGGTTAATTATCTAATTAAGTAATGAAAAATTTTTTGACTGCTGAGAAAGGGTTCACCGAAGAATAATCGGGATCGAACATATCGAATATGGTGTTAGTTTTTCAGTAGAAAAATTCTGTTGTTCTTTCAGACAAGGGACGATTTTTTACAAGGAAATTTTTTTGCGATAGTGTTTGAAGCAGCAATATGTAGAACAAAACGGAATAGCTGATTAACGTCCAATTGTTGAATATTCATACTCATCAGCATACTGATCAAATCACAATTCTATAAACAGTTATATTACACAAACATCGTCTGATGCGAACCACTCAATATAATATTTCCCCCGACAAATGTTGTTTTGGACGGTCAGAGTGGCACAGATATTGTGATTTTTTCAACAGGGAATAGAACGAAACAGTTTGATGGGGATTCTAAGCTAAATGAAAGAATGAAAGTCGGACATGTAACGGCTAGCCGCGAGTGGCCGACCGGCTAGATGTCGATTTGAAGAGTAATATTTTAAACAACAAGTTTTAGCGATAGTCATATAGTTTTAAAATTTCTTAGACAGAACCTAATCATCGATTCGCTCGAACAGATCTGGCAACCTTTTAAGCTGCCTGGTGATGAAGAGAAGAACGGAACCTTTTGTAGAGAGCGGTATATCTATATAAAGTTCCTACGTTTTCGAATATGGATTGATTTTCCAGAGTCGTCTTCTTTTCAGACGACATCTTCATCTGAATAAAGTGAAAATAGGAAAATACATGGAAATGGCTAGCCCTGAGTGGTCAAGCGGAGGCAGGCCGACGAACGACTAGGCGTTTGTTTGGGCGGCTTAGAAGAGATAAAATAAGTATAAGTAAATTGATTTTTGGGTGTAAATAGTGGGAAGAGAGTCGATTAATCAATGTTTAGAAACAGCGTTCCTTTTGCTTACATCTTTGAACAAATGAATTGAAAGTATAGTTTTACATGAATAAAGTAGAAAAGTATTAAACGAAACGAATGTGCATAAAAGTGGCTTTAATTCGAAGCGAATTAGAGTGAGATATATGTTGAATTTTTATCTAAAAGTCATCTAATTCTTCCAGAAAAGGGTCGGTGAATCCAACAGATGAGCGCTACTTGTAGATATATACATTGATGGATACACTTCGATTCATGATTTTACTGATTACTGAAAAGCTCAGCAAAGACGATCTAAAAAAGTTTTCATTACGAGAAGATTTATCAAGGTTTGTGTATATGGAGTTGTTACTACTTTTACTTTGCCGACCACATTTCAAAACAAACTACGAACTCTTCTCAGTTACACATTATACGTTCCGGCTTCTCAGTCCAAATATCTACCAACGTGGTTTTTGAACGATTTCATATCCTCCAAAAAAACACTAACAATCTATTTTCTCATTAAAAGAAGCTGGTATGGCCCATCAAAGCTAGTTACGCCGCCCCTCACTATAAAAAAAAGGCAGAGCAATCAACCGCTTTGAAGGGTTTATTAACCCTATAATTTAAACGGGGGGTATGTTATACGTTGCACTTTCATATACCCTCAAAACGGCTTATTAACTTCACAAGCCTTCGAAAACCGCTTTTGTCTCCTACCGTTCTTCAAATGAATATACGAGCAAGCCATCTAGCGGTAGATAGACGCTCATCTACTCTAAAGGTTTATCCAAACGCAACGTATAACAAACTCCTCCGAGTTTTCTGGACACCAAGGTTTTTTTTCGATAATATATGACGCTCACAAACCCAAAAAAGATTAAAGTCACGAGCATCAACCATTTTCTAGGGTTTATAATTCTACGCTACTTTTTACAGTGCTGCGCGTCCTTCGATTCGACGTTTACAGTTTATATTTCAGGAATTTCAGTAACACATTCACACCAAACCCCGACTGACTCATGCTACGCCTCTTAAACGTATGCTCTTCAGACCGATTTTCCGGAATCTACACTAAACGTCGCCCCAACGCGACCACCAACTTAAAACTCACTTCTACAGACTTCATGCTCACAGTATTCACAGTATACGCAAATCTCTGAATATATATACACATCCATGCACACAACGGTCGACCAAAACTAGTCACTTACCACCGCTGCAAATCGTTCTTAACGATAGAATCTTCTCCATACTGTTCTTTTCCTTGAAATAACTGCCCAAACTACTAAGCACCGTCGGCACAATGANCATGTAGAGTAGTCAATAAACATCGATACCGTGAGAAGCGGTCAGCTACTCAACCAGTTTGTCGTTACAGTAACGAGGCGCAGTAACCGCCAGCCAAAATCTTAACCCCTTCCGGTCAGCTATTCAAAGAATATCCTAACCCCGCTCCCTCCCCTACGGCAAAATGTATCCATATGAATACATCCAGTTGGAAAGGGTTAAGCTACTACTATCTTAAGGTAAGGTATACCAGATCTTTTTGTGTAAGCACTATAAACTACTGTCTTTGTACATATCACATCCGGAAATAGCGTTGAAACAACTACCTTCTAAAATGGAATTTGTAAAACACACAGAAAAATATCTTTTCTGAAACAAGTAACGAAGAAGTCTAAGCTTGGTGAATAAGAAAAAACTAAGCTCAGATTCAAGTTCCTCGACCTCGATTACCCTACCGGTAATCATTTTCTACCAAGTATCGATCAATTTGATTGATTTTAGAAATGCTGATTTCGGATTGGATAGGATAGACAGACAAACTTTAAGCTTTTTAGCACAGTGCTTAAGCGCTGCATAACCCTTTCTTTCAGAGAAGGGAAAAACTATGACTTATTTTTCTGATTTTTTACTATACTCATATCTGGCGACCCTGTTACGGACATCATAAAATTCTCTTTCATATATTGAAAACGATGAAGAATTACAACATTCGCAAAAAAGCAAAATTACAGTTTTTTATTGGATTAATTTCTATAACACTACTATATGCATTGTCTCAGTTAGTTATTTGAATTGATATCAGGATTAATTGTTCGTTTTCGACATTTATGTAATCTACCTAATCGAACAATCGTTACAGCTGTTGATTGACAAATAATCATTAAACCTCCATAAAGTGAAATTAAATTTGTTATTCCATCGATAATATTCATTTTATCAATATATGAATGTCTACATGTTGATATTGAACATTGATGAAAATATTTTTCATAAGAAATATTGGAGAAATATTCTTCTATGAAAAGTTCTTTAACAATTGATTCAATAGTCATATTAATAGTAAAACGGCTTGATTTTAAAGATGAAATATTCAATGCTGTAAATGTTTGATTTGGATCAATACATTTTTGATCATATAAACATTGAAATGTTGTTTGTAAAAGAGCTTCAAGTGGATAACATCCAACTAACATACCTCCAGATGATTGTGTACATTTTGATGATAATCCACAATTACATCCTTGATAAACAAGCGGTATTGGATGAATCATAACTCTAGTGCCCATGACACGTGCTCGTCGCATAAAACGCCAATTTGATGATATAGATGTCATTAACTTATTAACTTGAGTTGTTTCACGAATAAGAGCTAAAGAAGTTAATAATGCACTTGGAATTGTTAATTTAAGATCATCAAGATTTGATTGAATAATTTCATTTAATTGTTCTGCTGATAAAAGTTGGCTATTAATGAAATAACTTTTAGTTAATTGTTCAAATGAATCATTAACAATTTGTTGCGAAAGTTTACAAAATGAAGAAAGTAATTGAAATTGTGCAAATGCCGAAAGTTGAAAATCATTTGAAAGAAATCGATCAAAAATAGTTCCATTGCTATATAAATATTCAATCCATTGATTAGAAACAAAATGACTTGAGCATATATGATGAAAACGGGATGTTATATTAAAGAATGTTTCATATTTAATTGAATGATATAAACATGAACATTGAAGAGTTGATGAATAATGTTTTTCTAATTTTTTATAAGTAGAAAATGATGGTTTATGATTTTCAACAAATTTTGTATGTGGACTAAACGTAATCGAAACATAAATAGTTATCAAAGTTATTGTTACAAATATAAAACTAATTCGATCAATTAATCGTTGTTCATGATGACAGGCGAATTGATTCTTAAGAAATCTAATTGAAGCAATAGGAGATAAAATATTCTTAAATTTTTCAATAATAATAAGACATAGGATAAAGAAAAACTTAAATCCAAGTGTTAACCCACCAATAATGCTCATAATAGTAGTAACAACGATGGGTAAACTATTCCGATCAAGATATTGATAAGTACATGAATGAGGTGAACATTCTTGATAATATTTAGTAAACGAAATATCTATTGACCATGAATCAATCATAAGTTGATTTATAATTGATTCAATAGTTTCATTTACTGATGAAGTCATATTTGAATTGAGAAAAGGAAGTTCATGGTATTCTTCAGAATTTCGATAAGAATATAAGGATAATATACATGAAGTATTATAAAAACATTCTAATGTTGATGCTAATATTGCTTCATTCGGATAACAACCAATAAATAATGTTGGAATACGAGTGCGAAGAGTATAAATAGTTTCTATGGGGTGTTTCGCATACACACCCATATCTGTATAACATGATGGAGATAAAACACAAGAACAATTAGAATATTTCATTGGTATGATTTTTAATTGTCGATTTACATAGGAAAATGAAAAATTTGTATTAAGTAAAGGACTCATCAACTGATTTCCATGTGTTGTTGCTTGAATAATATCAATATTACGTAAGTTTTGATTTTTAATTGTTGATTTCCAATATTCAATAAGTGAATTTATTTGAGATTGAAATATCTTAGGAGAAAGTACTGTTGAACTAACAAATCGATCTCGATAAAAATCTAAAAGAGCATCATCAATTGATTGTTGAATTCGTTTACAAAATTTAAAAAGAAAATGAAAATGAATATGACCATTTTCTCCATAATCCCAAGGAGACTGATAACCACGAGAACCTTCACCAATGGAACCTGCATACCGATCTATTATTCTAGGAGAAACTATATCACTTGAACATACATGATGATATCGAGGTTCGATCTTAAGAAAAATTGAATAAGGCATTGAAATTGAACTACATGGACATGAAAGACTAATTGAATATTTTTTTTCTAATGTTAAATATTGGGATTCACTTGGATTAAGAATAGTTGTATAATGCATGACGATATCAAAATATTTATATGTCGATAATATAAGAATTGATAGAACAATTGAAACAATATATAAACGAGTTGCATCATATTGATATCGTATATTATTATTATCATCAATTGGACGTTGAAATAAATTTAATTCTATAAGAGTTTTATATAAAGTTGATTTTAATTGTCGCAATTTGATTTTAACTAGAAAAATAGAGTCATAGAATTAGATTTCTATATTCAAAAGTATTGGCGGATCGGCGAAAAACTTTTAGGGAGCGGGGAAACAAAATCATGGATTGCCTTCTGTTCGAAAAACCGGGAGGGCGCCCATCGATTTTGCAAAATCTTTTGGAAATTTCTGTGAATTAATTGGATTTTCGGAAATTTTCGACTATTCGTCTACCAATAAGGTACTGTTGTAGTTGAAACTAGGGTAGTTATAATCAGTGACGGGACCAAGGTATTGCATGATGAGGCTCAGTTCCATGGAAAGAAACCCAAAGAGAAAGAATCTACAACGAGCAGACAAAAATTTTTCGAATTCTCACGGTGGATCCAAACAATTCTAGAGGGCTCAACCTCAACCACTCCAAAACTTTGGCTCTTCCACTGGCTAAGCCTAACGAATTTTTTGGGCTACAATGTGAAAAATCTTTTAATCATATAAAGGGTCACCTATCGGCCGAGTTCTGTGGGTAGGTGTAGGTATGAGCATCGGTAAGGATACAGATCAAGTCAACCTCAATACTCAGTCTCATCCACCCACTGTATATAGCCGCTAAATGATCATATATACGATCAAAAGCATCGTTACAGTTAGAACTGACGCGATTATGTTCAAATTCTAGCTTTTTAGCCTACAAGTTAGCTGAATTGTAACTAGCATAGTATTGTCAAATATGAAATTTATATCCATGCACGCCGATATCCTTCTAGTAGTTGTGCCAAGGGTGGACTCAGCCCGCCCTAGCTTCAAAAGCTTTTTACAGAAAACTGATCTTTTTATGCAGAATGCGTGATTTCTATAGTTGAGTCTACCTTGAAAACTTGAGGGTATGTTAATCCCACTTTGAGTTAAAATCCTGGTACCGACGCTATACTCTCCCTACATTCTCAACGAGCTGAATATTTGAATTCTACTTTCAAATATTACACTTATAAGGCAATTGTGACCTCTTCGCATCCTAGCTGGTCCGTCAGTACTTACAAGGAATTTTTGGTAGCGGTTCAATATTTCTTGGCCGTCGTATCCATCCGACAATTGGTAGTATCAATATTCTTAATACCATTGTTAAAGTCGATAATATCCCAATAGATTTTGTCAGTATAACTAATAAACTATTCGATGCTATTCTTGAATAAGTACATGATATTGGTATACATTGATTATAATATTTATCATAAGATATATTTGTTATCCAATCTTCTATCATTAAATGATCGACAAGTGATTGAACCGTTGATTGATAAGAAAAACGACTAGATGAAGATATTGTCATTGCTGTAAATGTTTCATTTGTTGGTAAATATAATAATGTTTTATTTACACATGTCTGATCATAAAAACATTCCAATGATGATTCAAGTATTGAGTTTAATGGATAACAACTTGTGACTAAACCGGGAATCTTCATTCTTAAATAATTATTGGGATCAGAAGTACGTCGTGAATGTTCTGAAAATAGATCATATATTCCAACAGGCATTGTACGACCTTTAGTATAATAACAGCCACAACTCGAAGATCCATAAATTTTCCGAACTAATGTTATATAAATATAACGAGCAGGAATATTTTCCATATATTCTAATTGAGTATCAGTCATAATACCTGACATTAATTTATTTGTCGCCGTCAAATCACGAATTGTTTGTAACTGAAGTGCAAAAGCACTTGGTATGGATAATTTTAATTGATCAATTGATGATTTAAATCAAAAAATGTTGCATTTATCCAACGATCAGATACAAAATCACTTGAACAAACATCATGGAAATTTGCATCAATTGAAAGAAATTTATTTTGTGATATTGATATATGAGAACAAGGACAATTTGCATCTGATGGAAGTTTTTCAAATTGTTCTTTTGTTGGATATGATATTGTTATTGATACTGTTAATGGTAGATAACGTAAAACACAAGCATTTATAACAAGAGATAAAATAAGTACTAATAAATAGATTCGTGTAGAAATAATATTTGATCGTTTTTGATGTTCATTTTCTAAAGATGGCTCAAATAAATTTAAATTTAATAAATATTCTTTTAAAGATGACATTATATATCTGGAAATAGAAGAATCATTTACATTTTATTTCACTTACGTATAGAAAAAAAGAAATATAAGTAACGGAAAATTTTTGCACAAAGCAAGATAACTTCAAGGAGGAAAAAGCGCTAGTCCAATACTCTAGTGCTCCATTCTACCCAAGTCGAGTATTCTGATGGTCGGAAAGAACGCCTTAAACGACCGGAAACGGTTAGAAAATGACAATCTGTTGCCTTAATTTTCATCTTATTTCGTCATATTTATATGCATTTCTGGGTTAACAGATTATGTTGGCATATTAATGCAATTTTTTCACTGTTTCAGACAGTTTACGACGTCGTTTTCCTGAGCCTGGGTACTCCAATAAATGTTTTCTTTGTGGCCAAGATATTGTTGAAGTAACGCTTTTCCCCTCTTACTCAGATAGACAAACAATAAAAAACAACGCGTAAAAAAGACAGGAAAAGCGCGCATTTTAAAGGATCTAAACGGACTAATATATGGGTTTTTTACTTTTTTGAATTTCTCTGAACAGCTTAATAGGTTTCTACGCATTTAATTTCACAAAATAATACGTACAAGAATAGTTTCTAAAAAGATCTGCAGAGAAACGCGTTAGCAATTCGTAAAAACGGCATTTTTAGGATTGTCTACTGTTAAAATGACGTACTTATTCTTTTTAATGCGTCTTTTTGACAGTTTTCTCTGCCTGAGTTGTATAATCCATATTAAATCATCTATTGCAATAACCTAATAGGATATGCACAGTACAATTCTCACCGCTTTTAACAAGAATATCTGGTATATAGTCGTCATTTAAATCGATTACCACAACTTGATTTGAGAATCTACTGGTTGCATATGTTAATCGATTAGTGAATATATCATTTCCATCATTGAAGAAAATTGTAAGGTTATCTCCGACATCGGTTAGAGAAATAACATCAATTTTCTTGTCAAGATTCAAATCAATAGCAATCGTAGCAGGATAATAGCCATTTGAACGGATTGTCGAGAGCTGTGTTCCATTTGAAATAAAAGTATTGTTACCTGTATTATAAATTACAAAGAAAATTACATGATTATTTTTAAATACAAATGGTATAATAAAATCAAGTTGTCCATCTTCATTCCAATCGATCATTGTCATCTTATCTTCATGTCTGTGAGTAGATAAAGTATGGTATCCCAAACTAATGAATTTATTCCCATCTTTATTTAAAAACACCTCATTAGCATATCCACAAAATTGAATTATATCCAGTTTAGAGTCATTATCTATATCCATAATTCGCATATATTCTGGTTGACAAAAACATTTTGAGTAAACCATTTGACGCGCAAAACCACCATTACCTTTATTTAAAAAAATACCAAAATTGTATGTCTCCTTACTTAAAACAATAATATCAAGATTATGATCAAGATTTATATCACCGATGAAAATAGATGTTGCATCGTCAAAAGTTGAATATGCTCTTTGATTAGCAAATGTACAATTATTTGTACTAAGAAACACAGTTATATAACCATGAGACATATTTAAAACAATCATGTCAGGTCGCTGATCATTATTAACATCACCCATTGTTATACTTTTTGGTCCAAAACTACTTTGATATATAATTGGTGAAGGATTAAATTGACCATGACCGATATTAAGAAAAATACGGATTCTATTTTCTTCACCGTAAGAGAGAATTATATCAGTTTTATTGTCGCAATTAACATCACTAGTTGTCAAAAAACTTGCCCTTTTGATAGTAAATAAAGTTTTTTGTGGTAAATATGTTATGTTACAGGAAACTATAAAAATATTCACATTCTCACATCTTAATGATAAAAATAAATCTTACTTGGTTTTGTTTCGTTTGTTGTATTTAATAACAATAATTCTTCACTAACTGTATATCTTGTTGTTATAAGAATGATGATAATTATGAAAATAGTAATAGGAATTAAAAGTAAACACAAGTAACGCTCATCCTTTGGATTCGCTAACCCTTTTCCGAAAGACTTCCGAATGCTGAACACATTCCGAGACTTCGAAAGAGAAAAAACGCACTGCGATTGCTACTGGTGCTCAACTGAATCATGGTACTATGTCACACACTAGAACTAGAATAAATAGGATGCAGAGGTCTTTCTAGGAATCAGACCGATTAGCCATTTGTCACTGGATAATTCTCCAGCACTAACTATGTTGACTGAAAAATTCATCGCTCAACGGCTAGTCAGTCGGCCACTCACGGCCAACCATTGACCTTTGTCATCTGTTTTTCTATTTTCACATCACGCGCATGGAAATTTTCATAAATGCTTTACTAAGTCACTCATCGACGGACGATATACAGTAGACTGCTTGAAAAGTGTCAACATTCGCCTGTGTCTTCCAGCGATAAACCGATTCTTTTCTCTCCTGTCAACGAAATGATACCCTGCCGAATGTTTTCATTGAGGAATATTCATTCGTCAAATCCCTTTCCAAATTATCTGAAGCCTGGCTAGGTTATTCTAAGCGTACACTTTAGGATTAATCTAGCAGTTAAACACCTAGTCGTTCGTCGACCTCCATCCGGTCGGTCACTCACGGCTAGCCGTTGACGCACATGATCAGTGTTGATAGTTTTTCCATATAAAGAAGTAGCTCGTTGATACTGAGTCGATCTGGGATCGAAGCTATCAAAACCCTTCGTAACTGTGTAGTTTACAGTACATATTATATTGCTCTGTTCAATTTGAAGCGCTGATAATGTGCAATCCCTATTCTCGAAGCTCGAAAGCACATCAATTATGTTCGTTCAAAAACCATTGGCTTTAGTTGAGACAGTGATAAATCTCATCCTTTCAAGTAATTTTCAAAACAAACGTCTAGTCGTTCGTCGACCTCCCTCCGGTCGGTCACTCACGGCTAGCCGTTGCCATGCTGTCTCTCTTATTCCTTTCGCCTTCGATCGACTTTCAAACTGAATGATTGGGTTTTCTTTTATTGTCGCTTCTAGTCATGATCTTCTATTCATTCGACTACCAAAAGAAACTAGATAAGAAATTCTTATTGTATGATTTGCTTCGAAACGAACATCTTTCATAGCGCTGCATGTGTTCAGAATACTGTTTCTACAGTCCACGCGTCTGTAATTACTAAGATAGAATTCCACCGACGGATATATCACTTTGTGAACTACTTCTACTAAATTCCCATGAAAAGACATGATGTATGTAGCCTACAAAGCAAAGATGATACGAAGCTCATATCACTTTTTCGGATTTTTCAATTAGAAACGTCATTATGTACAATGCATTAGATCTTTTCGTGTAAGTTCTTGAGCTACTATCTTTGTACACATGACGTCCGTGAATAGCGTTCAGCTCACCATCTTCTACAAAAGATTTTAGAACAGATAAAGTAAAATATCTCCTTTGTAAATAGGAAGGAACAAGCCCAGGCTCAGCGAATAAGACGAAATTCGCCCTCAAATTCAAATTTCCCCACGTCAGAAATCCTTCGGTCTACTCTGACGATGGATGTTACTAAGTCGGGGCTACTTAATGAAAAATTAATAATTAATTAAGCAACACTAACGTCGGATTCGTGATCCTCGACCTTGATTACCTCAGGTGAGTCATTTCCGTATGGTTATCTCTATGGTTTCATTGGTTTATAAAAAGCTGCAACCTGATTGGATTGGACAAACTCACAAACTTTTAGGTTTTGAGCCACTGATTTTAGAACGCTATAACCCTTTCTTTCAGAAAAGGGAAAAATACAAATGAAAACATTTTGTCAAATTAATTTTGCATCGTATGTGAAAGGCAATGAGAAATCAAGCAGGAACTTTTTTCTAGAAAACTCGTTGTAACAAGCAGCAGAATTAAAAGGCTTACTGCGATGAGAAACACCCACAGAACTGACAAACTCGGTCTTTTGAGCAAGGTTGTTAGAAACATATTCGTTGTGACTAACACATTACATTAAAAATAAGCTTGCACACAGAAAAACCATAGATAATAATTAGTAGGTGTTTTAGAAAACTTCATTTCAGATTTTCAGTATGTCTACTTCTGTATTATCATTTATCCAAGCTCAATTTGTTCGTTATGGCATGGCAATCATTCTGGTTTTCGGTTGTTTTGGCAATGTATATGCCGTCTTTTTTTTCATTCGACAACGGAAAAATGTATGTGCATTGTTTCTACTCAGTGCAGCATTCATGAATATTCTGTATTTGATTTTTAATATTCCAATCAATGTTTATTCGTATGAATTTGGTGATCCATCACGGTATTCCATGACTTTGTGCAAGTTACGTTACTATATCTTCCATGTATGGGGTCAAATGTCGAGATATTTCATTCTTCTAGCTTGTATTGATCGATATGCTTTGACACATATGAGTGCCAACATACGATTGTTAATTGGACCACGTCTCGCTCGACGTCTTATCGTCATTGTTACTCTCTTTTGGCATGTCTTTCCATTGCATATTCTTATCATGACAACGATTAAGAATGGTCAATGCGGTTATTTCGATTTGTATTATATACTGAACAGTATCTATATGCTGATCTTTGTTTGCTTAGTGCCACCCATCTCCATGAGTGTTTTCGGATATCTTGCCTTTCGGAATATGCATCGATTACATACTCGTGTACAACCCTCAAGTCCTGGAATGACAAACGACGCAATTGCCATTCATCGACAAGATCAAAATCTGTTGAGAATGGTCCTCGCTGAAGTGATCATGTATCTGATGACAATGAGTATTTATCCAGTTATTATCTGTGAGTTGGCCGTAACCAACGCCATCGGAATGAACAAAAGTCTGCAACAGACTCAGATTGAAAGTTTCATCCTCTTCATGGCACAATTCTTGATCTATATCAACACATCAGCACCATTCTACACCTATATGACTGTCTCAAAGACATTTCGTCATGATTTCAAGGAGACACTTCGTCTATGCATCCGTCGCACACCATAAGTCTATCTGAGATTATGTGAACAAAGAAAGACATAATTGAATGACAGAGACATCTTGCTTTTAAAATTTGTCGTTGTTTGTTTGTCTGCGATTGTGCTATTCATTGTATACTGTTGTCTGTAGAAATCCCCCAATAAATGTCGCACCAAAACTTGATGGTCAATATATCGAACATAAAGAGACAATCCATTTTCTAATGTTGGTCACCAGTTTTTCGTCAGTCGATCAGTTATTCGATTTGTCATATAGAACGTACTTCAATCGAATTTCTCTTTCTTTTGTTCTAGATAAAATCCAACGATAAAAGAATACGTGTGAAGAGACAATGATGTAGAGTCCGGCGGGGCTGTCCCGCTCTCGATATAATCCCTACCCAATATTTTGTGAGAATTAGGATCTAGACGGATTTTATCATTAAAAATAGATGTGCTTAGAAAAGCTCCCGAAAAAAATCTGAACGGGCTCGGGATCGAGATGAAAAACTCTGGTCACGCCGGACTCTACAATGATGATTTTAAAAGTAGAAAGAATTGAATTATTACGGATGGAATGTTTTTTCACATGATCAGATTTAAAAGTGACACATTCAGCAAAATGTTTTTTCAGGACATACCTATCCAACTGGAAGAACTCATTCACGTCGCTCGATTATCAAGAGTTTTTGAAGAGCACTATCATGAAATTTACAGAGAAAAAAAAAGCTATATATAGATAAAGTTCAATGTGTGTCCATTTGTTGCTAGTTTATATATTCCAAGAAAGAGAAAAATAAAAAAACAGTGGCGAACGAAAGTTGTTGAAGATTTCTGTTTATCGACCGGCTTCAATCTATTTTATGAAAAAACTTCATCAGAAAAAAATAAAACCAAAATTCACTTGCGTACAAGAAAACAACAATCGAAAAATTATCATCCTCTGTCTTTCTTCCTTTTCAATATAAAGGAGAAGAGGAAAACGGAATAAGAACGCGACAGAATACTAGTTGACTGAATTGTCATCTAACGGTCCATCTATTACCAGTGTTGTTGATAGAATTGTTTCTATTATTTCCATATATTGGAGTGGAGATGTTGCTGTAGTAGTGGTTAGAAAAAATCTTTTTGGCCTTTTCTTTACAAGTCTGTTTTTGCAAAGAGTAATAGATGGAACCGGCTGGTCCGGCACCGGTCCAAAATTTAGACCGGTAGACTTACCGGTCTACCGGCATTTTCACTGGTCTAAATCTTCCACTTTCCTGCTTTTATCATAGATATACGTTGAACATTTTTATCGGTTCTAGATACAACTCCACAGAGATCCTCCAGTAAAATGTCATTGGAAATTTACGAAAACGAATTATACAAAATATTTTGAATTTATTTCGTATAAACAATTCAATATTCCTTGTATATAATCCATTGTGTTAGGTAATGCTGAATCCCGATTTACTTGATGATTCTATGGTGAAAGCGAAGCTGAAAAATGGCGAATTAGTAATGGTTATGAATACTAAATATCGAACGTCAACATGGTCTGATCTTCGTCTTCTTGCCGATGCTAAATATCCAGAAGCACCATTAATAGGATGGGCGTAACGATAATGATATCGTTCATCTCCTTCTGTTCTTTATTCTCTCACCTCTATATCATACTATCTCCGGGTCATATCTCTCTTTCCTCTTCTCTATATAAGCGCGTGTTTTATTGTGAAAGAGACACATTCTGGTCATGTAGAGTAATCAGTAAACATCGATACCGTGAGAAGCGGTCAGCTACTCAACCAGTTTGTCGTTACAATGGGCTGTTTGTCGATGTTGTTGTGCTGCCTTTCGTACTCATTCAAAGTCCAATGACAAAGGGAAAAGAAAAAATCATGGGCTTCCATCTTGCATAAAACATCTGGATCAATGTCCTTTCCGAAAAAAAAGAAAGGATTGAAATTAATAAACAAAATTCGTCTTTCGATTAAGTTTCAACAAATTCACAACCATCGGTTTCACAATTTCTCACGAATAAAAAGAAAATTTCTCCTTCTTGGTTTTAGAAAAACTAACAGAAACCGAAGCGAAGTTTATCGTTGGAGGTAAAACATCAACAAAAGCTTAGAATAAAACTTTTTTTCTGTATAGGTACAGTAAGGTGCAAAAGTCTTTGCCCTAATCATAGCTTGTCTCGTTCACGATATATCTATCGAAGTAAATGGAGAGATTTTGCGAGGATTCTCTGACACGTGACGGGAGATATATATATATATATATGTCTATGTATATCACGAACCGTTGTGAACATTCTTTCTTTGCGAGAAAATGCTCGAACGACGTAATCTAACGTCGATGAAAACATCTCGTTCAGCTATATTATATCACTGGAATAACGGCGAACGATCTCCGGAAACAATTGTTCGTATGGCAAAGATTCCACTTCGAACTATTAAATATAATATTGCCAAGATCAAAGAACAAGGTACAATCGAGGACAGATCGCGTTCTAGTCGACCTCGTAAAATGACAGCTAATGATAACCAAGCGCTGGGCCAATGGATTCGACGGAATAATGAGATAACGTCACAAGAATTAGCAGAAAAACTAATTCGTGACCGAGATCTGAACGTATCCCGATGGGCCGTGCGACGTCAGCTCCAACGACTTGGTTATAAAAGTACTTTGCCTCACAGCACACCAATGTTGACTTCAGAACAAAAGGATGCACGTGTTCAATGGGCAATTGAACACCAAAACGATGACTGGAGCAGAACGATATTTACCGACGAAACCTGCTACCAATTGTTTCGTAATACTGTTCGTCGATGGTCAAGAAATCCAAAATCTGAAGTCAAGCGAATTCCAAAGAACAGACAGAAGATTATAGTGTGGAGAGGGTTTGGTATCAAGGGTCTCGTGGGATTTCATTCGTTCAATACAATAATGGATGGCCCGTACTATGTTCAAATTCTTCAAGATCATCTCATTCGCAATGCTGGAAAGCAATTTGGCGGACGATGGCGACTACAACAGGATAATGATCCGAAGCACAGAAGTCGAGTGGCTCAACAATTCATGTCGAAAGGAGTGCCTGAAATGCTCAACTGGCCATCAAATAACCCGGATGTTAATCCAGTGGAAAACCTCTGGTCTACCATCAAGCGTCGTGTCGAGAAACGAGAACCAACAAATCTTCGAGAATTAGATACTATTTTTGCATCAAGAATGGGCCAAAACTGACATGTCCGTCCTAAATCATTTGGTAAATTCCATGAAATCACGATGTTTAGCTCTGGTTGAAACGAAAGGAGAAAGAATCAACTATTAAATGAGATTATGTTGTACCTTGAACTGTACCTCATCTTTGTATATATTTTGTGTTTATATTGATCATTTCGTTTTTAATAAACATTTGAAATAGCGAGGGCAAAGACTTTTGCACCTTATTGTATATATTATACATCTACGCTAGTGATCCAAATTTGTTTTACGAAACAAAAGCTAAGAGACGATTATTGAAGCGCCTATAAGAGTCAGATTTCGGAAGCCGTTTCTCCTCTTTAAAAACTATGCCGATATCAGAGTTGATCTTTGCTGTTTTTCGACAAACTGTATTAATGGTGTCATGGACATACTAAAAACAAGTAACGCGGCCTAGTAGCCGCTAAACCTTCTACTGAAAGGATAGTATTAGAGCGCTACTATTCGTCTCAAGAGAGAAAAAAGTTGTTTCAGTTGAACGATCTGATCATTTGATAGTTTGTCAGAATGTCTTACTTAGACCAATTTCGATTCCTGAAATCTTCTGAAATTATAACGCCTAATCGTTTGTCGGCCTCTCTCCGGTCGACTACTCACGGCTAGCCGTCGGTACCTAATAAGTGTTTAATGATATTTTCATATTAAAAAGTACCTCGTTCTTGTTGAGTCCGTCTCTAGCAAAGTTGCCGAAATTCTTCACAACTTCATGACCTACAGTATATCTTTTATTATCANTTGGATTTCTTAGAGATTTTTTCCATCGATTTTCAGTCTCTTCAAATCTACCATCCTGCATACGTTTCATTTGAGTGTCCGTTGACTAGATAATAGAGTATAAAATTACACATAGTCATTTTCTTTGAACACATAAACAGACTTACCGATGTAAGAGCAGAATCACTTTTACTGCTTTTCCAATAACTCTGTGACACCTGATTCGGCCGTAAGCGATTGTTACAAGGACGATAGGAATTCATGGAGATACGCGTGAACGGTATATTTTTATCTGTCATGTTGATTAAAATCAGTTGCTCATAATTTCAATTGTGGTGCTCTTATCAAACTTTCTCTTGTCAACAAGCAAATGAATGGAATTACACTTTGAGAAGCATGAATTCATATATTTAATGGATTGTAGAAGAAAAAAAGTATATTCGGAAGCCAAGAACGATTGTTTATTTCATATTACAATGGTTTCAGAAAAATAAAAAAATCGATGTACTTTTTATTGACAACGCCCAAGCCTTCGCCTGTTTCCCATAATAATATCATCAATATGTTTGTCATGTAGCATGAAATCCCACAAAAACATTTTTATCCACATCATATTATTTCACAACAAACATCTGCAAATTGATTTACAATGTAGCAGCCATTTTTCCAGAGTACCGTCAAGATATTTGAGAATAAATATCGATCTATCATAGTACCTGAAACGTTGTGCTTAAAATTAAAGTTACACTAATGCAAAATCATATCATTACTTATTCTTAGTTTTATACAAGCGAAATGTCCTGTTCTTATTTATTAACCATATAAGGACAATGAAATATTTTTGTTTTCTCATCATTGACATGGGTAATCTATCTCGTAATAATTTTGTTTGTAAACTTGTCAATCAACTGAATGCATTGATATATTTCGAGTCAAATAAACTGCAGATGCCGGTAAAAAAATGTTTACAGACACCATGCATGGATAAAATAGTAGTTATTTTTGGTGTTCTGTTAGTATACACCCACATCTGATAGAAAGTGGATTGATTGCTTTTCTCCAAATTCTTTTTCCTCGTTACTTGATCTACATCGTTTGATTATGAATGAATTCCAATTCTTATCAAACGAAACTATCATCCAATGCTTTGCGTATCTTGATGCTTTATACATATACAAAGTTAGAAATGATATTCTGCTATAGAAGGAAGGACTATGATTGTGCTCTCAAATCTTATAAATATTGAATGTTATGACAAATGAAAGCTTGTGAAAATCGAAGATACATCTTATTCCATAATGTTGTACATTTGAGAATGAATTCCATCGATTCCGGTATTTAGTCTGACCACATTTTTCTATATTTCCGAGCTGAGTTCGTACCAATTCTGGAATTTCAAAACAGAAGCACATTCACTCTCGACACTCTTATTCGCCAGTGGAACTACTCTCCACATTTTCAACATTGTGGAATAAGATGGCTACTCAAAAGTATTAAAATTAAACAAGAACAATATAATGGCTTGATCAATATAAGAATGAAAGAATGGGAATATGTTGAAAAGTTCTTTTCTTTTCCCACTGCTTTCACAACTATTGCAATGCTATAGAAATCTACTGAAAATGACAGGAGTTTTCTTACTTTTTATATAATCCCAGAATATGTTGGAGAAAACGTTTCATATTAATACTGACATTTACAGCTGTAGTAAAAAAAACTTGCATTTATAAGTTTTTATACTATGTTCTTGGAATTGATTTATTTCCTCTGTTACTCATATGGTTGGGTAGCCCACAAAAAATACTACGCATACATGTATTTTGATCTATATGCTGTTCATCTCCGAAAGAAAAATGAAGAGTATAAGTGTGTCCGTTGCAAGTGATAAAAAACATTACACGATTATGTGAAAATTCGCAATGAAGTTGTATTAGTAGTTGGAAAAAAACAAAAGATAGTGTAGAAAATAACGATCACAATATAAAAAATCCGGAATCAATTAAATCGTTCGTGTTTAAAGTTGGAATAGATCAAATTTGAGTTTAGAAGCAGAAATAGACAAAAATCCTCTATGAAAAATAGAATTTGTCCAAAATTGTGGCCTGTTGTTCAATTCTTTTTTGAAAGGTGGAAAGTTTGTTAAGACTTAGGCTCGTATTGAGAAAAGTTCATTGAACTTATTTTGAACATTTCCGGATGACATAGATAGAAAATAACGCCAGAAGTAATTTTTGAAAAAATATGAGGGTAGGTGTGAGGGTGAGGGTGAGTCGAAGCAGACCAACACGCGTTTCGACCGTTGCCGATATAGTCTCATCAGTTGTGTATACTGCTCTACTAAATTCAATTCTTTCAAATTTTGGTGGACTTTAATTAGTCTTTCCAATTTCTGCTTTGAATTTGAATGCACTCATTTACCTACCTGATGATGGATCCTTGTAAAAGATCGAAATTGTGATCGTAAGGTTCCACTATATATAAGTCACCCTCACCCTCAAGATGGTATGAATCGAAACGCTATGTGTTTTTATTAACAAGAAAAAAATATTCGACTTTGCTCGTCTCTCAGCTAGAAAATAGAATTACAGATTGTCTCAAATAGATCACAAATTTGGTTCAGAATAATTGGTTGTATTTGCCATCTTCGAACTATTGGTCAGTTGGATCTGTGTCAGTCCTATTTCAATCGATAATCTTTTCTTTTCGTTGAAATCAAACAGTTCTTCTCTGAGATAAGTTTGAATACGATACCGATGAATGCATAACCATCGGATCCAAATGAATATGATACATGCCATTGCCAAGCTGGTACATCCAACCAATATATATTTCAGTGTTTCAAGTTTAATTCCATCGGCCGATGAACATGCCCAAAATATTACAGCAACAAATAGCCAAATAAAAATACCTGTGATAAGCATCAATCCCGTAAAATGAC